CCCAGCCGGTGGACGGGCTGGACCGGCGCTATTCCCATAGTTTGTACCACGACACCGGGATTGCACCGGAGCAGAGCCCGGACTCGTACGCCAACCAACAAGCCGTCAACCACGGCGCGGCCTCCACGGATAACCTCCAGGCGGCCGTCGGGACGGGGTACGGGGGTCAGTACCCGCCCTACGAGCCGCAGCCGCCGTTCCGGGCGGTGGAGCCGTACGGGGTCCCTCGTCCCGAGTCCTACCTGCCCGCCAGGAGCCTCGAAATCCCCCAGGCTGTCCCTGATAGCCAAGCTCGGGTCAGCGTGGGCAGCGTCTACAGGCCCAGCCACGGTGGACGGGGTGAGTTTGGGGGGCACCCTGGGGTGGGTGGCAGGTCCCCTGGGTGGGATGTGCCCTTGGTGCTTTGTTATTCCCGAGGGCAGAGTCCCCTTCCTCCATGTCTGATGCCAGTCACTCTTCAAGGATGCTGCCCCAGTGTTGTGGGGGCAAATGTGGCTGAGAGGTCACCGAGGGGCTGTTGAACACCCTACATGTTTTAGGAATGATGTTTGAGGTGGTGAAGAACGGAGAGGAAAGGGAAGGGTCGTGAAGGAGCAAGTCCCAGTGTGGGGTCTGGCCTTGATGTGGGTCTGTGCCATGTCCCAGGGCATCTCATATTTGTGGGATGGGTCTGTGCTGTGGCATGAGGGGACACTGTGCTCGTGGGGTGGGTATGTGCCACGTCCCAGGCCACCCTGCCTGCGTGGGGTGGGTCTGTGCCGTGGGTTGGGGTCACACCGTGCTCATGGGGTGTCTGGATGCCACATCTCAGGTCATCCTGTATCCATGGGGTGGCTGTGTGCCGTGGGCTGGGGGCTTGCCATACTCCTGGGGTAGGGCAGTTCTGTATCCCGGGTCACCCTGGCCGTGTGCCCTGTGCCGGGTACACTCAGCTCACGGATGGATGGATGGATTTGCTCTGCCTCAGCCAGGGGCAGTCGCTCCCAGTGCTCTCCCCGTGCCGACCACACCGGGGCCGCAGCAGGGGACCGAGGTCACAGCAGGGACACCCTCGTTTCATGTCCCACTGACCCCGATCCTGGTGAAATCCTGTGGCTTTCAGCTGAGCCTTGCCAAGAGTGTTTTTGCTCCATGGTAAGTTTGGAAGCAAGGCTGGAGGGTGTGAGGAGCAGCAGCCTGGGGGATCAGCCTGTCCCTTGGGAAGCCCATCTCAGCTGGAGCCTCTGACCAGTCTGACCCCATAACCCATCCAGCCCCATCCCTGGTTTCTGGGAAAAACCCATCCCAGAGGATTTGGGCTGGGGGAAGCAGTCATCCCAGCCCTGCCTGTTGCATGCGAGTGAGTAAACACAGCAAGAGCAGCCGGGCTGGGTCAGCCCGAGGTCCAGCTGGGAGAGAGCTCAGGGACAGGGTTTGTACAGAGGATCTTCCTCTGGATCCCCGCTGGCCTCACCAGGAGCAGCCTCTCCTGCTGGGCATGGGGTGTGGGGGGCAATGGGTACCGGAGGTGAGGGATGAGGGGGGTGAAGTATGTGAGGATGTGGGATGCAGGGGCGAGGGATACAGGGATGAGGAATGCTGGCAGTCCTGTGCCTCTGCGAGGGACGCCTGGGGACAGCTGCCCTGCAGATGACCCAAAGCAGCAGAGGGAAAGGGGAAGATGCCTGCCAAGTTTGTCGTCTCCCTGTTGGCAGTGGCTGTGTCCTTCAAGGATCCGTGGGAGCTGGGCCAGGAGGTGACGGTGCTGTGGCTCCACCAGGGCAATCAGGGTGCTCGTGGGTGGGTCAGCAGCCCTCGTTGGTCCATCCACATCCACCTCTCAGTGCCGGAGCCCCTGGCCTCCTCCCTCACATTTTTCCTTAATAAATCTAAAGGCAGGAATAAAGATCATCCAAGCAATTTAGAGAGGTGGCCTGGCCTCTCCTCTGGGTCACTTGCTGCTCTCTCCAGCTGAGCTTTGTTTAGGGAAAGCTGTCACCTCCCTGGGGCTCACCGAAAGCCCCTCCAAACCTGTCACCTGCAGGGCCACCCTTCAGGATGGTTTCTTAATTGGTCCAAACACTTCATAAAGCCGAATCAGATGTTAATTATGTGTCTAAGCTCTTTAAGAGCCTCTTAATCCCACCCGGCTCTGCAAGGAATGTGCAGCATTCCTGGCCCCTCGCTGGGGTACCTGGGGGGTTAATTAAGCAATTAGATCCCACCAGCTTTTATGAGAGGGTTTATTGGGGCTTGTGTGAGCACTGTGGATTGTCCACCTCCCTCCACCCAAACCAGATGCAGATACCTTGGAAGATGAGTTGGAATAGTTTCCAGTCCTAAATCTGTAGGTGACCAAACCATGGTGGAGGTGGGAGAGGAGCATCTCTGTGTGGGTTGGCCAAGGGAGGGGGTCTCTGGGCCAAGGAGATGGGGAGGAGACCTCAGACGTCTTTACGTCTCCTGCTCACAACCCAAGGGTCACCCAAATCTTGCTCTGGGGCTGTATCACCTCAGGCCAAAGTGCCTCCCCTCTCATGGGGTTTGGACAAGGTGCTGGTTCCCAACAGGGCTTCCCACTCTTGACTGACCCCTAGGAGGAATCTCCAGGGGCTTCCTCACCCTGACCCCTGCTTGGACCCCATCTGCAGAAGGGTGTTTTGCCTTGACCTCATGGAATGGATCACCCAGGGTTGGTGTTGGAATGAGAATGGGTTTTGGGAATTCCATGGGGTGATAGGGATTTTGTTACCCACTAAACTTCAGTTGTGGTGACACCTGAGGGTACCATCACCCATTGATGGGGCACCTGGGCCAGGAGATGATGGTCTTCCTGGGAATGTCTTCCTTTGGTGGGTTTGGAGGTCAGTTTGGGTTGATTTCAGGTGTTTAACAATGAGCTGGGGATGCCAAGATTCAGTGGAGATGAAGGGGGATGTCAGGAGGTGCTGGAGGAGGGATTCTGCAGGGATGAGATGGGATGGGATGGGATGGGATAAAGGGGTGCACCAGAGGGTGTTGGAGGAGGGATGCTGTGGGGATGCTGCATGGATGGGGTGGGATGGCATGCATGGGATGAGGTGGGATGGGATGGGATGAAGGGGAATATCATGAGGTGCTAGAGGAGGGATGCTGTGGGGATAGGATGGGGGAATGAAGGGGTGCATTGGGAGGTGCTGGAGCTGGGATGCTGCAGGGGTGATATGGGATGGGATGAAGGAATAATGGGGTGTCAGTCACTCAGGGTATCCCCATGTCCCCATCCCCGCTGCTAAAACCACCCTGCTTTGGTGCTCCTGCCTCCCCAGGGCTGGGACCCAGCACTGCCGGGCACAGGGAGGAGAGGCAGCTGCCCTCTCGGAAAACTGCTGGAGCTGGGATTTTTGGGCTAAGCCCGGCACACCTGCACAAACAGCGCGGCGGGAGCGGGCCGGCCTTTTTTTATTATTCTAATTTTCACGGTGAAGAAGAAGGAAATCTTCTCTGGCAGCTCCCAGGGCAGGCCGAGGGGCCGAGGAGGAAAAACAAACATTTTCCTGCTGTGGTTGTCCCGTTTCGGAGGCGATGGCGGGGGGGGCTGCCGGGGCTCTCACTTGCAGGAGGTGGGAAAACGCTGCCTCAGCAAAAAAAGTCAGGATTTGGCCAGCTGGGATGGGGACAGTCGGGTTCCCTGCTGTGCTGAGGGGACATTTGTAGGGTGGCAAGGCCGGATCCTGCCATCCCATTAACTCCAGCGACTCCGGCACTTGCGGTTTGACCCTTCACTGCCGAAAGTCAGGCGCGAGACCCTACAATAACAGCGAGGCCATCCAGGGCGAGCTCCGTCGTGGGGGGAAAATAAAACTCCCCGTTGGTAAAGGAGTCGGATTTCTCTCTGGAGCGTCCAAGAATTTATTATAAACAACAGTGGGGAGGAAAAGCTGTTTTATAAATGATGACAAATGTTCCTCTCGCAGGCCCCGGGGTCGTTCTCCGTTGCTTTTTTTATTATTAATTTTTTTAAGGGAGGGGGGGGGAAAGTCTTTCCAAGCTCTCCTTGATTTTCTTGCCCCCGGCTTGTGAGGCCCCCCCTGGGCATTACATCAGCAGCGATGACCAAGCGAGCGGGGCAGGAAACGAGCTCCAATGGAGTGACGTGATCCCTCGAGGGAAGGCAGGCCCAGAAACAAGGAGGCATTGTTCTTCTTGTCCAAGGAAAAATAGGGAAAAAAAGGGAAAAAAAAGGAAATGTGCTGGAAACTGTCTGGGGGCAAAGAGCGGGTGGGGCTGGAGCCCCTGGGTGCCTTGAAAGGGGGTGGGGACAAGGATGAGGATGGGAATGGGGATGAAGATGATGGGGATGAGAGTGGGGACAGGAGCCAGGATAGGAATGGGCAGGAAGGTGAGGATGGGAGAGGGGTGGGCAAGAGGAGATGAGGATGAGGAGTGATGATGGGGATGGGGATGAAGATGGAAACAGGACTGGGGATGGGGATGGGCATGGGCATGGGGATGGGAAGGTGGAAGAGGATGAAGGGTGAAGATAGGGATGGTGATGAGGATGGGAATGAGGATGGGGACAGGGATCGGGATGAGGAGAGGGCTGGGTATGAGGATGGGGATGAGGAAGGGGATGAGGAAGGGGATGAGGATGAGGGGTGAAGACGGGCATGGGGATGAGAATGAGGATGAAGATGGGAACAGGGATGGGGATGAGGATGGAGACAGGGATGGAGAGGAAGATGAGGAGAGGGATGGGGAGGGGGGTTGGCATGAGTATGAGTATGGGGGAGTGGAAGGGGATGAGGGTGGGGACTGGGACAGGGATGGGGTTGAAGATAGGGATGAGAATTAGGAGAGGGATGGGCATGAGGACAGGGATGGGAAGGGGATGAGGATAAGGAGTGAAGATAGGAATGGCCTTGAAGATGGGGATGGGAACGGGGATGGGGATGGATGAGGAGGAGGGTGGGAATGGCAATTAGGATGGGCATGTGGGAAAGGAGGAGGGGCAAGGATGGTGATGGGATGGGGACAGGGGTGGGGACAAGGATGGGGGATGAGGGTGAAGATTGGTTGTAGATGATGATGGGCAGGAGGACAGGGATGGGGATGAGAACAGTGCTAAGGATGGGAATGGGGGTAGGCTGGCGAGCCTGCAGCAAGGACTGACCCTAAGCAGAGGTTGTTGCAGAGCAGGACTTTGCAGAGGGCTGGCAGAAGGGAAACTGAGGCACAGAGTGCCTGGGGAGTATCCCTCCCTCTCCCAATCCTTCTTGAGGGGCAGATGCTGGGGCATTTTCTGGGTCAGTGGTGGTGGAGGAGCCTTTGGGAAGGGGAGGTGTGAAAGGGCATTGCTGGGGGGAAGTTCCAGCTCTGTTAGGGCTCCATAATAGTTTTGGAAACTGAGTCAGCCCCTGCCTGTCCCTACATCTGTCCATCTGTCTGTCTGTCTGCCTGTCACAGGTCTCTTCAGTGTGGCCCCAAGGAACTGTTGAGAATTCAAGGAGATGAGGGATAACAGCAAGGGCTTCCTGGGGTTAGCTCTGCACTTTCACCCCTGTTTTGGGGTGAAAAACAGGAAACAGGGAAGGAAATAGGGATTCTCCTATCTTGGGGGTCATGTCACTCCTGTCCCTGACTGCCACAGGGGTGGGAGGCTCAGGGGAACCTCAGAATCCCTCTCAGGGGGGCCGGGCAGGGCTGAGTGTAATCGCTTCCAGGAGGGTGGGTTGAGCAATCCCGCTGTAGGAAAATGGAGGATTGGGATTTGCCAGCGGGAGCTGGGAGGGAAGGGGAGGGGAAGGGAGGATTTTCCATCTGCAGCTTAAAATTAAAAAAACGTGGCGGTGACCGAAGGAAAGCTTCCCCCCTTGGCCGCTTCGAGGAGAGGACTGTGGTGTCCCCAGGCCTTGTCCCCAGGCCCTGTTCCCATCCTCAGGGCTGTCCCCAGGCCCTGTCCCCGTCCTCAGGGCTGTCCTCATGCTCCTGGCAGGTCTCCCCGACTTGGTGCCGGACCCCAACTATGTGCAGGCGTCCACCTACGTGCAGAGAGCTCACCTGTACTCGCTGCGCTGCGCCGCCGAGGAGAAGTGCCTGGCCAGGTAGGAGCAGCTTTCCTGGGGGTGACATGTGGCCTGGGATGAGGGGGACATGGGGACACAGCGGGGAGAGAGGGGGGACCCAGGGAGTGGAAGGGGGGATGTGCTGATAGGGGAGGAGGATGAAGGTGGGGGATGAAAGGGGAAAGGGGAGGGGAGAGAGAGGAGGGATGGGGAAGGAGGAAAAGGATGAAGGAGGAGGGTGGAGGGCAGCAGAAAGAAAGGAGAAAGGGAAGAGGAAAAGGGAAGGGGAAGAATAGGAAAGAGGGATGGGGAAGGGAATGATAGGAAAGAGGAAAAGGGAATGAGAAGAGGGATGGGAAAGAAGGAGAAGGATGAGGGAAAGGATGGAGGAGAAGAAGGGAAGGGGAAAGGGAAGGGAAAGGAGGATGGAGGAAAGAAATGGATGGGAGAAGGAAAGGGGAAAGGGAAAAGGAAAGGGGAAGGAGAAGGATGAAGGAAAGAGGTAAGGAGAGGAAAGAGGAAAGGGGAAGAAGGATGAAGGAGAAGAGGGGAAAGGAGAGAAGGAAAGAGGGAAGGGGAAAGGAAAGGGCAAAGGGAAGAGCAAAGCAAAGCATGATGGAAGGTGTCTGGTGGGTTCTCTCCTTTTTTCATCATTTCCTTTTCCACGGAGGAAACTCTCCCTACAGAGGCTCTCGCTGGGAATTTTCCTCCTCGGGGTGCCAGGGCTGACACTCCACCCTGCACCTGGGGGGCTTCTGTCCCCCCGGGGCTGGGGCTGAGGGGACGTGGGGTTTGACCCTCCCTGATGTCCCCAGCACTGCCTACACCCCCGAAGCCACCGACTACGACGTGCGGGTGCTGCTGCGGTTTCCCCAGCGGGTGAAGAACCAGGGCACGGCCGATTTCCTGCCCAGCCGGCCCCGGCACAGCTGGGAGTGGCACAGCTGCCACCAGTGAGTGTCCCCACCCCACCTCCCCTCCACCAACCAGCTTTTGGGGGCAGCTCCAAGGCTTTTTAATGGCATTTCCCCCATTTTGTGGCTTTGCTTTGAGATCTTGGTGGGAGGGGGGTCGTTGCCACTTGTCCCTAAAGCCAGCACGCTCCTGCAATTAATGTCCCCAGGGAGGGAGCTGGAAAGCTGCTGGGGACCCAGCGTTGATGAGGAGCCCCCAAAATCACATCTGGGGAGGGAGTGGCGTCATTCTGGGGGTCACCCTGACTGCCATCCCCCCTCCATCCCCAGGCACTACCACAGCATGGATGAGTTCAGCCACTATGACCTGCTGGATGCCACCACGGGCAGGAAGGTGGCCGAGGGCCACAAGGCCAGTTTCTGCCTGGAGGACACCACCTGCGATTTCGGCAACCTGAAGCGCTACGCCTGCACCTCCCACACCCAGGTGACCTTGGGGGGGCCGGGGGAAGAGGCTGCTCAGGGTTCACCCCCTCCCCAGCACACCTGAACCCCCCTTTTCTCCTCACAGGGCTTGAGCCCGGGTTGCTATGACACCTACAACGCCGACATCGACTGCCAGTGGATCGATATAACGGATGTGCAGCCGGGCAACTATGTCTTGAAGGTGGCCAGGGGCCTCGGGGGAGATCTTTGGGGCAAATATTCCTGTTTTGGGGGTGGCTTGGGATCTTCCAACCATCGTGTTCAGGACCTTCTTTGGTGGCGTCCCTTTAACATGGGTTTAGGTGCTGCTCGTCCCCCCTCTTACTAATTTTTTGGGGGGTGTTTTTTCCTTCCCTTTTGCCCGTTTTTAGGTTCAAGTGAACCCCAAATACATCGTCCTGGAGTCAGACTTCACCAACAACGTGGTGAGGTGCAACATCCACTACACCGGACGCTACGTCTCCACAACAAACTGCAAAATTTCCCAGTAAGGAGATGGCCACGTGTCCTTCCCCATCCTTCTCTTCCTTATGTCCTGCTTTGTTTTTCCCTTGGCCATCAGAAAAAAAACAGTTGGGGGTCAGACCCGAGTGGTTTAGTTCCTTTTTTCCTCCCTTCCATCTGTGTTTTCTCTGTGAACCAAAAAAAGAAGCTGGATTTGGCCAATGGTGGGGCTGGGGGTTGGTGTCTCGCTCCCTTTTGGGGTGTTGATACTGAATTTTCTGGGATTTTGTTTTCTTTTTTTTCAGATCTTGATGGGAGCAGGGCCAGAAGGATGTCACCTGCCTCAGCCTCTGTCCCCTCTTCAAAAAGAAAGCCTGAGCTCCTCTGCCCCACCAGAGACCCTGGAGCCCACCAGCAGCTCCTCGAGACACAGACTGCCCCCCCTGCCCCGAAAAACCCCCCATGCCTTCACATTAAAAGGAGGGGAAGCCAGAATGACTCTTTGAAATTTTTTTTATACTTAACTGTTCTTTAATCTTAGTTTTTTACCATTTCCTGAGGGGATCCAATGCTGGGTTTTAGCTGGAATAAAGGCAGGGACCCATAAGTGCTGTATAATGATGTAAATGCATACTAGCTCTGTAGTCCTTAACCCCTTTGGCTTTTTTTTTTGGGGGGGGGAGGGTCTCTGGCCATGCCATGTTTCCCCAGGGGGAAGAAGACAGCCTGGATTTGGAGCTGCTGCCCCAGGAAGGATACTTGGCCCCTCTTTTTGAGGTGGCTGCCACGCCAGGATGCTCCAGGTACTTTTGGGACTGAAGGTGCTGGAAATCCCATCACCTTTAATGGAGAAATCTCTCTGTCTGCCCAGCTTTTATAAACACAGAGAGTCCTTGAGATGACTGGAAAGCTTGATTTATTATTTTTATTATTGTTAATGTTATTGTTATTTTCACAAGCTTTAAAACCAGAAATCATTAGAACACGTTGCTTTTGAGGGGTTGGTGTTTGACCGAGGCCGCGGTGGCACCACAAAGACCCACTGAGGGACGTCCCTGGATGTCCTTGGGCCATCCAGGATGGGAATATCTCCTGAGAGATGACTGTTGTCCTTTAATCCTGGATGGTGGGGACCAAGGGGCACAACCCATGGGGAGATGGGAAGGATGGACTCCTCAGGACACCCCCCGTGCTTGTTGCTGCCTGCCTGGATTGGAGAGGGGGTGTGGGACACGGCCACCCTCTTGTGACATCCTGTGGCTCTGGGAGCTGCAGCCCTGTCACCACACCCCACTACTGGG